CCGTGTGCAGGATCAGCTGCTTGCTGTAGTCTATGGGGCACAACACCAGTCCCTCCCGAGCAGAGACTGCCTTGATTGTGTCATGCGCCGCCTGCTGCTTAGGGCCCCACTCCCAAGGAGTGCCCTGCTTCAGCAGCTTGTTCAGGTCGTGCACGATCAGGCTCATGTTTGGGATGCAACACCGGTAGTAGTTGATGAAGCTTAGCTGTGTGCGCAGCTCAGACACATTCTTGGGCGGAGGCAGCGCCATGATTGCCTCCACCTTCGCCAGGCTAGGGCTAATGCCGTGTTCTGACAGGTTGTGACCCAGATACTCAATCACATCAGCACCAAAGATCGACTTGTCGGGGTGGGCACGCAGTCTGCACCACACCAGACAGTCTAACACAGCAGCCACATGCTGCACATGCTCCTCGGGTGAGTCAGACCAGATTACTATGCCATCAATGAAACCCACAGCGCAGTGGTCCAGCCCTGCACGAGTTAGTTCAAAGTCCACGCGCCTTTGGAACGCAGCCGACGCGTTTTTCAGTCCATATGGCATGCAGGGTACATCATCAGGCGGTTACCGCACCAGAAAGCCGTTTTAAGCTGATCAGCTGGTTCCAGCGGCACCTGTAAGAAACCTTGGCGGCAGTCCAGGTGCGAGAACACCTTGGCGCCTTTGATGCATTGAAATATGTCTTCGGGCCTGTGCAGGCTGTACTTGTCGTGCCTGGTGTGCAAGTTCACGTTGCGATAGTCTTGCACCATGGGCACACCCGTCCACAAACCCGTGTCTGGATCCTTCTTGTCTGCTATGACCAGGTTGACTGCACACACGGTGGGGCTGGTGTACTCAACGACTATGCCCGCGTCCACCAACTCCTGCATCTTTTCTTTGATGATTTCCCCCTCACACGGGCTGTAGCGCCGCGGGGGTTGAACGACTGGCTTCTCAATGTCCAACTCAATGTGAAACGGGCCGGCCTCTCCTCGGTAACCCGGCAGATCCTTCATGGAGTAAGCGAATGCAGTTCCCTTGCGGTCCCCAACCACCTGCTTCAGGGCCTCGATTTGCCGGGCGTCCAGGGCTGTGCTGTTGCCCCAGATCCAGCCTCCGTCCGGGTCGAAGGCACTCATGCGCTGTGGCTATGCGCTGGCCATCCAACCCGTATGCGTCCACCGTGGCTAGGGCATGTGTGAACCCTCGCAATCTTCTACCACCCGGGCTGCCCGCTGCTCCCCAGCACGGCATGGCAAGGACCGGGATGGTCTGGGCTGTGGCAGTTGCTGCATGCTCGAGATATGCACTGGTGTTCATCGCCAGCTGCATGGCCTCATTGCCGGCGCTGCCACCCAGGTGGCCCTGAGTCGTACCCACCCCCGTGATTGCCACCAGCAATGTGGTTATGTACAGCATGAAGGTGAGCACGCCGCCCAGGTACATCCAGTCCTGGTGGTTGCATGCAGCTTGTAGTGAGACGCCAGTGGCTTCTTGCGCTTGCCCTGCCGTGGCTTCTTGACTTTCTCCTCCATCACCGTTGTGACTGTGTCCATGCACCGGCTGAGCATGCTGGCACCTGCCTGTGCTGCCGAGGCTGCCTTGTCGGCCAGCCAACCGGTCCATGACTGCGGCTTAGCCGCTTTGACGCTGCTGCCATCGCTGGTGCAGGTGTTGCCACCGTTGGTGGTCTTGTGGCTTGCACTCCCGTCAGGTGCGGGCGCAGTGCCGTTGCTGATGCTCACATCGCAGTCGGGTGCTGGTGTGGCGTTGTTGCTGTTTGCCACTGTGTGGGTGTTGAGGTCCCCCCCCAGCTCTGGCGCCGGCATCTTGTCGCCAACAGAGCTGACAGATGAGCAGCACGCAGCGTGTCCCCTGGAGAGTTCAAATGCGCAGTACAGGCTGTTGTAGCTGTTGACGCTGCGGGCACCACAGCTGACTTGGTGTCTTCTTCCACGCAGGTCATGACACATGCAGCGCGCACGTCAGCCATGCGCACCATGGGCACCGACATCACCCATCCAGGCTGTTGCGCCAGGTTGGGGTAGAAGTGCGACTGCGCAGAGGGGTACTGTGTGATGCAGTCCGCGACCTGGTGAAACAGCTCATTGCCCGCCAGGAAGTCAAAAAGGTGGATGGTGGGAACCACGAGCGTCTTGGTGAGCGGCAGGCGGGTTTCATGCCGCATGCTGGCTAGCAGCGTGATGTACAGCCCCTCGGTGTCCAGCTCTCCCAGTACATTGGTTTTCTGCTGGTTGCCGGTGGTGAGGCTGCACTCGCTGGGCTTGATTTTGAAGCCACGCTTGCACACAGCTGCCTCGGAGATGAGGTTGACGTCAGTGCAGTGGTCACACAGCACCATGAATGTGGTGTCATTCAGCATGAATACCCACGTGCCGAAGTAAAACATGAGATGCGGATTCTCAGAATAGCATCTGGCGTCGGGGTTTAGGGCTAATGCCCTCACCTTCTCCACCGCACTGAGTGCGGCAAACGTTTTGGTGCCGTCTGAGGGCTCACCTGCCACGCTGTATTTCACACCGGTGGGCAGTCGGTATGTATCGAACTCACCCCGCCTCCCCGGCAGGAGGTACAAGCTGGAGGCGGCCGAAACACTGGATGCAGCAACGGCCTCGCAGCTGCCAGCGCTGGACGCTGCAGCGGCCTCAGTGAGGGCTGTGGACTCCCTGTGCGGCGCCCCTTCTTGCATGAGCAGAGCCAGCCTGCACAGAATCGCCCCGGCCGGCCAGACAGGTTCACGCTGACTGTTAGGTCAGGCGGTTGATCCGTGGCGGCTGTGGTGGGCTTGGAGGCTTTGGGTGCCTCGAAGGGCAGCAGAGGGATTTGAACTGGTGTGAAAGAGACTGACGTGGGCTGGGACAGCAGTGTAGCATGTGTGCCGTAGTGGAGTGTAGGCTCACTGCCTGGCACCCCTGGCTTGTAGGGCACTCCTGGTGTGCCCACGATCACACAGGGTTTGGCCGGTGGGCTGGACGCTGCAGAGCCCCCGCTGCAGAGGGCATCCTGCCCGGCCTGGGCCTCAGCACTGCACCACTGGCCGTAGCAGTCCACCTGTCGTGCAGTGGGCGTGCACCAGTGCAGCCGCAGCAATGCGGTCATGCAGCTGGTGCCGTACTGGCCCTCCTCCTCATCATCATCGTCCTCCACTCCGCAGTGTGCAGTGGCAGCGGCCTGATGCTGCTGCTTCTCCTGCGCCTTGCGGGCCTTGGGCCGGAGACCTCGGCACCCAGTCAGGGTGAGGTGCCTTGTCTGGATCCTCGATTGGGCAGTTCTCGCGTGTGCATGAACATGAAGCAGAAACCGCACTGCTAGCTTGGGCGGTCACCTTCCCCGCGGTGTCCCTCGCCTTTAAAAGCGTCCCTCGCCATGGTGCGGGAGGCAATTGCCATGCTTGGCTTTGTCCGCCTCGTACTTAGTGCGGGGTGCACCACTGGCGGCGCCTCCTGCGCTCGCTGAGCTAGTGGTTGCCGCCACACTGCGTGTCAGGCCCTGAATGGCGGCCACCAGCTTGTCCAGTGGGTCGTTGCCGCTGTAAGTTGGCTGGTGATAGTTGGCTGCCGCTGTGCTGTGGCGGTTTCACAGCATCCTGCACTCCTTGGTTGGGTGCAAGGGGTTGCGGCCGTGGAAGTCACAGTAGTACCACTTGGTACCATCCGCGTCCTTGCCGCTCTCCTTGCCGCTCTTGGCCGGCGTGCTGGCAGAGGAGGTGGTGGCCTTCTCGGCCTTGGCCTTCTTGTTCGTGTTGGCGGTCTCGCTGAATGTGTGGCCCTGCACCCGCAGGAGTTGTCACCACTCCCACGCCCCTCCACCCCCAGGCCTCCTACCCAGGCGAGGTCGTGTGGCTGGTGAGCGTGCTACTGCTGTTCCTGCTGGTGAGGCTGGTGAGGCGGGGTGCAGGGGGGATCAGGTGGGGAGGGACTGAGGCGGGAGGGGCGGCGGCTGAGGTGGCCGCTTAGGTGGTCGGGAAGTGCATGTACTGCTAGAGGCTACAACCGCAAGCAGTCACCACAGGCCTGCCGGCATGCAAAACATGCAACGCCTGGAATCCATTAAATCCATATTACCCACCTTGACTGGCTTTCGGCATGGCGTGGGTTGCCAAGGCCTTGCATAGTGCATAGGTTTGCAAGATTAGAAAAAAACCTGACGTTTTTATTCTATCTACACGCGCTCAGGAAAATTGCAGCTTCATAGTGCCCCACATCAAGGTTGGAGGGAGGAGTTAAGAACGGCCCTGGCTGAAGCTGTACCATATTACCCTCACCTGTCCCCCATTAACATCAATAGATCAGGGTAGCAGACGGATTCAAATCAGGCGATCAAGGCACGCGGACCAAGGACGGCGGGGCGCAGGCGAGGGGCGGGGATTTTCCCCCAAGCGTAGTCGTGGCAGTTCGTATTAACATGGACTAAAACCTCATCGGTGACACATGGATGCTGTTTTACAACCATCTTCATCGATGAGATATGGCAGACGACGGTGCGTGAAAGGGATTCGCCCCCGTTACGATAGTCCGGTTCTACCTTTGGGTGTACTCGCAAAGACTATGGCTTGGGGCACAAAGATAGACGCTTCTTTCACCAAGCTGACGGCCAGAGCTACTACGACTCCGAGAGGCAAAGTTTGCAAATAAATGAGAATAGTCAGGATTTATATAATTCCTAGAACTGCAAAACATGCAAAGCTTCGCCGCATGTTCGTACTGTTAAAAATTAATCCTACACTTTTGATATCACCCTGGGGAGGTGGGAAATCCATCTGTACAAAAGCACCGTTCTTGGTGCAATCCAGAAAGACCAACAGACTTAAGTTACGTAAAACGGGGTCCCCGAATTTTTGTATGGGGTTGCATCCATGTCCTTCGGTTGCATCACCGCATAGCGTGTGTACTCTGGGTATCTTGTTTGCCTCATCCGAATCCGTTAAGATTGCCTGGCAAGATTATAGCAGGGTAATCCGTACGAGAACGCCGCTGACGTTGCATGGCGTTTGATAATGCCACCTCGTGATTTGAGGTATGGGCCTGGTTGGTTTGGTCTGGGTTCGGGGTTACTTCACTTGGGATTAGGGTAAATTAAGGTTTTACAGCCCAACGGCTAACGAGGAGGGTAGGATTCGATCTGGAATTAGGGAAGAGCTCTGTCGCAGATTTAGCCTGGATTTTAATCCTGACAAAAGAATTGGTCCGTCGGGGTCTTGAATTGCTCTGGCGGGCTCGCCGGAGGTATTCGAATTGCGCTGTGGAGCCTCGGAATTGGGCTGTGCTGGGCCTGAATTGGCCTGTCCGGGTGTCGAATTGGCCTGTCCGGGTGTCGAATTGGCCTGTCCGGGTGTCGAATTGGCCTGTCCGGGTGTCAAATTGGGCCTGGCAGGGACATTCCGACAGTCAGAATTGGCCTGTTCGGGGTGTCGAATTAAGGAAGCACAGGAATTGTGCGACCGGGGCAGTCCAAAGAATTGCTCTCCCCGACCTTGTGTCCTACCTCTAGCTAGCGGAAGGACTTGCCTATCTTAAACATGTAAGGAAATCTCTCCCTCTGGGATCCAGCCCAGCGCTCATGTCAAAGACGCATTTTTGGGCGAGCGATGGGACATGCTGCGCACGTTGTCGTACGCTTCTTAAGTCGCGTTGCTGCCTCTCTCGGCGGACCACTGGGTTAGGAAGATCCCTGCATTCCAGCTCTCTGAACCTTCATGAATACACCGTCCTAGGTAGCGAAAGGTTATCAGATCGCGGTAACGGTGCTGAATCCCTTTCAGTGCGTGATGAATTAGGAGGGTTAAGCTGTATGTACGGCGGAGTTAAAACGACACACCCGGCTATCACGGCAACCACTTGCCGCTTGCGATCTTCGCGCTTCAGAAGAGCCTATATCATTTCAGCAAAGAAATTGTCCGGGTCACCATATCGAACGTAACACCACCTGGAGGCAGCGCTTCGCATAGTTGGAATGTTGCACCCGTATTGTTTCTCACAACACACGCCTTTGTTCAGTCGGAGCGACTTTACATCCAGCTGTGCGAAGGAACAATGTCAAAACGCAAGGACATGGAAATGGATGCAGTTGGCAAGCCACAGAGCTATGGTGCGCAAACGATGAACATCCTTCATTTTGAACGGAAGTGTAACTGATGATGATGTCAAAATATGGGACATTCTACGTCAGTATGCTACATGATGTGGTGCCGAGAATTGCGGAAGGAAGGACGAAGGAGGAGTTCTTTCGGTGTACGGCAGCCACGGCATCCTCAACTGTTTCGGTCATCATGGTAACTATCTGCAACATACCAGGAGCCAATGTTCGATGAATCGCACATCACTTGAGGAATTACGTGAGGAATTACACGTCCCACAGAAACCTTGTCCAACGTTGCGACTTTGTTGCCTAGAACACCCCTCCTCTAATAGGCACAGCGACATATTTTTTCTCTTTATACCGTTATCACTGCAGCTTAGATTGAGCCCTTATCAGAGGGCTGCGTCGCAGCAGGCGGTATGGAGCAAGATGCAGCTGCTGGCGGCGAAATTAGCTTGAGCATTGAGGAAACAAACAAGTGCGCACGATAGGCAAGCATGTGAACTTGCTGGAAAGCTCTCCGCAGCATTCCGACCTTTTTACTTCCGCAGATTACGCATTTCCCTCGGTCTCAAGCCGCTTCGTCTCGACACACAACCCAGCCAAGCGGAAAAGGAGCGACAGAATCATGAAGCAAAGAAGCGGGAGGAGGCCGAGACGCAGGCAGCGGAGCTGCGCCGTAAAATCGACGCGTAAGTGTGCAGGGGTGGTACGCACATGGCGACGCGATGACCCTTTCCCCTCCCCCACACCGCGCCCTGAACATGCTTTCATGGGGGGGAGAATATGTCTCTGCATACTGATTTACGGCCGGAAACATGCGGCTTACGGCCCCGCTGTCGCGCCCTGTCGCTGTACAGAGCACGGGAAAAGCGCGTCATGGAGTCCAAGCTGCGTGCTGTGAAGACCTTAGGCGCTGCGGACGATGACGATGACGGTGACATGGCGTCCTGGGTTGAAAGGAACCGTCGTCTGGAGCAGCAGCGGAAGGAGGAGGCAGCACGTAAGGCAGCGGCAGCAGCAGCAGCAACAGCAACAGCGAACAAGCGCCGTCATAGAGTAAGTGTGTCCCCATCGGGGGGAGGGGGTAAATACACATTAATACACATCACAAGGGGAAAAGACAGGCTCCGATAGGGGCGTGTTCTGTCACGGAGTAATAGGTAGTAGTCCTTCATACGGCCCACCCCTAACCCCATACGCGCAGAAATACCCCTCGCCGCTCCACGTCGACAGCTGGTGGACTTTGGCGGTGATTACTGCCCCACCCCTTCAATCCCCGCACCCCTCCACCCACCCCTCCATTCGACCACAACACGTATCGCACCGCCCAATGCAGCAACGCATCGCGCGCGGACCCATACTCTCTTCCTTGAAGCTCAAACATGCTCCGTATGGTCTGCGTCAATAAGCCATACATCGTACAACCTGTACGACTTCCTGCTGAGGGGGGTATATTTCTGTGACTTCCATTCTCGCCTACCTCTACACCCCAACCCCCCAGGATTCGGACGATGATGAGGACGGCGGATACAGAGCCACAGAGCTAGAAGGCCTCAAGGTATGTCATACACGAGGGGGGGGAAATACACGCGCGGTTGGATGGATGCAAACGAGCGGCGCAGACAGGGAGGAAGAGGGGGGGTGGATATCGGGGGTTGAAACTGCCACACGGGCGCAGGCGGTGGCTGCCGCGTGTGTTTTTTACGGCTCCACGTGGTAACTGGTGAGAGGGCCAAGGTGGTTCCGGAGCGCTGGCGTACCGGGGGCTCGCCGTGAGGGAGGGAGGGAGGGAGGGAGAGAACGAATCAAGTACAGAAAATAGATGCGAAATATCAGCTACTTCAACTATTTGAAAATGCCAATGTTCTTGAGGTCGCAAGGCGTCAACTCTATAAATGAAGTACAACCTGCCCAATTTCCCTTAACAAAGACATAGCTGACCCCGGCCCGATCCGGGCAGGAGCTTCGGCAAACTCGCCGGAGCAAGCCAGGGAGGGGAAATCGTGCGATGGTGCAAGGTAACCAGAAATGAACTGCCACGGCGTCCAAATGTCTAAACTGCCAGGAAGATGGGAAGGGAGGGAGGAGGGGAAAGTGTTTAGGGTAGATCGGGAAGGGCGAACTTGTCGAGACGTGCGTGTATATGTATGGATGTATGGGTGTACGTTTGTATGTATGTATGTTGTTACAGGGTGGTTAACTTCGCCAGCGACCCCTTTCCCGGGCAGTCCCTGCTCTCCCCTGCTAGAGGGGCACCCTAATCCGTCACCCCATCCGATTTCAGAATGTATTCGTTGGGTTCGGCAACTCACCACCAGCATCCAACCAAATCTAGCGGATCAACGGCGCCTCAACTTAGTTCCTGGTCAGCTCGCAAGTTGATATTATCACGTCCTACACCGTCCATATGATGGGGGGCCACCTCCCATTTCAACACTCCTCAAACACCCGAGGAGCCGGCAGGCGGATTTGAATCCGGGTCGGCCGGGAGCCGAAGTCAGGCCTTAACCTCTGCCAGCCGCCTGCCTGGTGTATGTATGTATGTGTTGGGAGGGGGGGAAATGGTTGGGGAAGCCTTGCGATGGTTTGGGTCGTTGAGGGAGTTGGGCGCGGTTGGATTCCGTTGGGAACGGTGATCCATGAAAACCCCCACATGGCCCAGAAGAGACGAAAGATCCAAAATAAGAGGGTTCAGATCCGGATCCACAGAATTGTGTCTTGGAACCAGAGCTGGAAGCACCTGATGAGGATGTCCACCTCATGACTCACCGCCTCCCCGAGCCGCGAGTTCCTACATTTGTAGTGGCCGGCGGTTTTGTTTCGCGAGTAAGGGGGAACCCTCCGCAAACTGGGTCTGTATGTCCTTTTTCGCACCCCCACGTTCGGACGCCTTTCGGTCAGTTCTACGTTTGATACACTCTTGCCCTGGCAGCAGCTTCAATCGCGTACGGTTCGTCTTTACCCCCACGTTCGTCACACACAGTCATTCGGCTTCCAGACCAGACCCCCCCCGACGGGGTACAACCGGCTGTTTCAGAAGCCGTGGGGCGGCTGTTTCCGCGGCGGGCTCACGTCAGGGCCACCCAATCCGACAATTTCCTTTTTCACTTTAGCAAGTCCTTCTCCCCCTCCCCTTCCCCCTCCTCTCCCTGCAGCATTTATCTTCTCATGGACTACCCGTCTAACTTTGATATCTGCTCCATTCGCCAGTAGCTCGTCTTATCGAGCCCCCAATCCCCACCAACTCCCCGGCACGGTTCGTCTTATCCCCCTCCCCTCCCCGGTAACTTTGGCCGTCGGCAGTTCATTCCTTGTTTCCTTGCACACATGTGATTCCCTCCCTCCCCCGCGTGGCAGCAGCTTCACTCGCTCGTGGTTCGTCTTTCCCCCCCGTCCTCCCCCCTCCCCCCGGTCCGCTACCGCGGCAGGTGCGTCACGACCTGTGTGAGGTTGGCGAGGGCGAGACGGTCATCGTGACGCTGGCGGATAAGCCCCTTCTGGACGAGAGGGGCAACCTGAGGGATGAAGAGGATGAGCTGGAAAACACACTGCTGGTAGGGGTGGCGGGGAGGGGGGGGAGGGGGAAGACGAACCACGAGCGAGTGAAGCTGCTGCCAGGGCAAGAGTGTACCAAGAGTAGAACTGACCAAGAGGCGTTCTTGAAGGTGGCGACCTCTCGGGATGATGTTGTGAAGATGGGGGAGGGGGAAGGGGGGAGGGGGGACGGCGACCGAAGGGGTGCTGAGGGAGGGCGTTAAAGGGTGGAGTGCGGTGGGATGGGGCCCAAGTGGCGGCGGGCGGGGGGCGGGAAGAGGATTTGGGGAAGTTCATAAAGGGGGGGAGGGAAAGAAAGGGGAGGGGATCGGGGGGGACATATGACAACGAGCTGGCAGAGCGGTTGCGAACCGGGTTTGGTCGGGTTTATGGCTGCGTAGTGTGTGTTGAAGTGACATAGGAGATGAGGTGGAGGTGAGGTGGCGTTCGTCTTCATCACTGTCGCTGTATTTCTGATCTCTCCAACCTTCCGCCCTTCCAACTTCCCGCCTTTTTTTCTCCGCGCCCCCTCTCCTCGCCCCTCGCACGTCCTCACTTAGGCCGAGGAGAAGCGGCGACGTAAGGCCCTCAAAGCCGCCAAGAAGGAGGCTAAGCCGCTGTGGGAGGAGGATGGCAAGGTAGGTGTATGTATGTATGTATGTATGTATGTATGTATGTATGTATGTATGTATGTATGTATGTATGTATGTATGTATGTATGTATGTATGTATGTATGTACGCATGATTGTGTCCGAAGGGCGGTGAGTGAAAGGCTTTGGGAGAGTGTGAGAGACGTTGAGGAGCGAAGTGCCACAGCCGGGAAGCGCAGTGCGATGTGGGAGGAAAGACGGAACGTGGGAGCTGTAAAGGGCTAGTTGGAGAACACGCGCGTGAGGCGAGTGGTGTGTGGCCTTGACGAGCGGCAAGGGGTGGGTATTGAGGCGCCCTCAGCACCCTGACGTGAACGGCCGCCCTCGCATGTGGCACGTAAAGGGCGCTCTCTTTCCCTCCCTCTCCTCCTCCACCTTTCCCTGTCTCTTCCTGAGACCAGGCACAGGCGTTTTCGTGTCATCTCACCCGTTCGCTCCCCCAAAGGGCAATAGTTTCCCCTTGGCTTGACAGGTTGTTTCCCCTTCTCCCCCCCCACCGCGCTCTCTCTCATGCTCAGGTCCGTACACTGCTTGACAAGTACGACGAGGAGGAGGAGGAGGTGGTGATGCAGCTGGGGACAGGGGGCAGATTGGAAGCAGACAGGCTGCGAAGGCAGGAAGAGGTCCGGAAGAAGCTGGCAGAAGGTGAGGACGTGCGCGTTTTGTGCGCGCGCGCGCGTGTGTGTATGTATGTGTGTGTATGTGTGTGTGTGTATGTGTGTGTATGTGCGCGCGGATGAGGGAGGGAGGGAGGGAGCCCCGTAAAAAGTGCGATGCGCGCTCGTGCAGGGTTTTTGTTTTTCCTATCTTCCCCGCCAGGTGTGGCAGCAAAGAGCTGGTGGTGGTATCCACCATCGCTACAACCACCGCAACTGCTACAACTGCTGCATGATAACTGCACAATCCGGATCATGGCGTGCTATTGCCGTGAGGGGCGTATCTGCATTCCCTCATGTGTCTTCTGTTCCTTCGGGACCTCGATGCAAGGGGGGTTTCACCCCCATCCCCCGTCGCGGTCTTCACGGACGCCTTTCGGTCAGTTCTACGATTGATACTCTCTTGCCCTGGCAGCAGCTTCAATCGTGTGTGGTTCGTCTTTTCCCCCTCTTCCCCCCCGGTGGCTGGCGCCGGTACCTAACCCGTACTGCCCGCGCAGGTAATGCCGTACTGGCCGGTGGGGTAGGGGCCAGCGGCACGGGCAGCGCCGCGGGCAGCGGCGGTGGCGACTACTTCACACCCGCGGAAATGGCCGCCTTTTCGAAACCCCGGAAGAAGAAACCCAAGGGCGAGCGGCGGATCCGGGCCAAGAGCGCCGAGCCGGAGGAGGGGTGAGTCGCGCCCCTCGGGTCCCCCCCACCGCTTTCCGTTGTTGGATTGTAGGGGAGGCGCCCAGACGACTTCCGTTGGATGGCACTTTTAGGCCGGCGAGGGCTGGGGGGTGGGGTGGGGGGTGGGGGGGGGGGGGGGCATCAGGGGAGGGTCCTGGCTGGGCGGATCCTGAGCTTTCAAGGAACTTAGCCGGAATCGGGATATTGTTTAGTCACGACTGTCTAATATGCAATAATACGTGGCGGGGTGGGTAGCTGTACCTGTAGCTGGGTGGTTGGGAAGGTGGCTGGCTGCTTGGGGGGGGAGGGGGCTTGTCTGGATAGGTATTGTCCACAGGTGGTTGGTTGGCCCTTCTCCCCCCCCCCCACACACACACACACACGCGCACACCAAAAAAATGCGAGTTCCCTTACACGCACTCACACCCATTTCGTGTCATACAACTGCAACAGAGCGGACTTATTGGCCACGTTGGAGGCCCAGGCGGAGGAAGCGGCGGCGGCGGCTGGCGGCAGGGGCGGCGGCGGCGATCTGGGTCGCCGTGCCGACCGCGGCGCCGCCGCTGCCCGCGCAGAGGCCGCTGCCCGCGCAGAGGCCCAGGAGAAGCGCGCGCGCTTCGACGCCGCCGTGGAGCAGGCCAACTGGGCATCGCAGTTCCTGCGCCCGCAGCAGAAAGGCAAGTTGGGCGCCGCCGCCGCCGTCACAGTGGGCGGTACGACAGGGCCCATTGTGACGGCGCCCGCGCCGGGTGCGGCGGTGGGTGACGACGACGACGAAGCGGATCGGGAGCTCCGTGAGTCCTTAGAGCGGGCGCGGCGCCTGGCGCAGAAGAAAAAGGAGGAGGAGGAAGCTGCGGCGGCGGCGCGGGTGAAGAAGGAAGAGGGCGAGAACGGGATGGAGGTGGGCGTCATTGACGGTGGCGGAGGAGGGGGGAGCGTGGAGGAGGTGGCGCGTCTGGCGACGGCTCGGCGGCGGCAAGAGCAGGAGGGCAAGAACAAAGGGTTAGGTAAGGCGCAGGAGGAGGAGGAGGAGGACGAGGAGGACTTGGTGTGTTTGGAAGGACGCTTGCGGGGGGGCGGGCCGTGGGGCCTCCACCGTGTGTTGGATCCTTTGGATCTGGATCCACGCTTCCGAGTACGGCTCCGACCCGTCCGTCGCCGGCACACGCTTTGGTTCGTGTCTGGAGTCCGCTTGGTGCTCCCTCCGCCCCAGCTTTGCTTTATCCTGTTCTTGTTCTTCTCCTTTGTTCTTTTTCTTCTCCTGTGTCCTTACTGCCCGGTTTCCTCCCCAAGTGGGATTCCTGGTCTTAGCAAGCACCTGGTCTTAGCGCCCTTTCATTTCAATGTGGTCAGTTGTAAATATATCCCTGATGATGCAGCATTTGTCTTCCTCTCCTGGACTATATCCTTCTATCTCTGGTATATCTGCTTTTGCTTCATTCGGCGGTGGCTCGTCTTACCTCCCCTGCCCCATCGCACTTCGTTGCTTCGCTATTTTCCCAACAGGCGCCCTATTTGCTGACGTGGGAGGGGTAAAGGCCGAGCAAGGTGCAGCTGGCGGTGCTGGTGAGGTGCTGACGGAAACCATGGAGTTCGTACGAAACATTACGGCAAGTAGGGGGGATGTACGGGATGTCGCTATCCCGTGATGGTTGTTATGGTGTTCATGGTAGCGGCGTGCCTGCTTTTCTCTGTGTGCATGTATGTACGCGTACGTATGTCTGTACCACATTCGTCGCCCATCCTTGGTAAAATACGCACACTGCGCCGCAGCACCGTGTCAGCCACGTCACGTGTTGCACAAAACTGAGTTGCATCCACAGTAACCCGCCCGCCCGCGTTTACCGACTTATTTATTTCCTGGTTTCCGTCCTCGACCCCGCCGCTACCCTGTACTTCCGAAGTGCCTGGCCAGGTGGTATTGCTTTCCTTGATCATGGTTCTCTTTTGAACCCTAAAACCCCAAACCATCTCCATCTCATCTCACCTCACCTCACCTCGCTTGACCATATGGCGCCCGTGACCTGTGTTCGCAGGCTGCGCCGCCCACCACCACCACCCCTACCAATAACGCCGCCGCCGCCGCCGCCAAGGCAACCTCCGCTGTCGGCGCCACTCCTGCTGCCGCCAACACCGACGGTGGCAGCAGACCTGGCGCCTACGCCGACGGCGACGGCAGCGACATTGACGACGACGGCGGCGATGCCAGGATGGCTGGCGCCGACGGCGACGCCGGCGAGGGGGAGGAAGGCCCCAGCGGCCGCGGCCGGGCCCCGAGCGAGGAGCCGGCGGGACCCCGTACGGGCACTTGGGTTGCCGCCGAGGACATGGACGTCGACGCCGACGCTGACGGCGCCGGTGGAGTTCGCAAGCGCGGGCGGGAGGGGTCACAGGACCCTGGCGGCGGCGGCGCCGGAGGCGGCGGCGGCGGTCGGGAGCGGACGCCGTTAGAGTTGGCGGATACGGGCATCACGGGCGAGAGGGTTGTGGGCCGCGGGCTAGCGGGCGCGCTGGGGCTGCTGAACGACAAGGGCACGCTGAAGGAGCAGGTGGAATGGAGCGGGCGGAACAACGATAAGAGCAAGAACGCGCTGCAGGTGAGGGGGTGCAACGGCGAGGGCGCATCTGTCACCGCATTCCATCGCTTGGTCCTGGGTTTTCAACAACCCCCACACCACACCGCACCACACAACACAACACAACACCACCATCCACATTTGACTCGCGGCCCCTCCTCTCTGGTTCGTCCTTTCCCCTCCTCTCTCTCTCACACACAGAAACGCATAATAAAACACTTTGCACAGGATTTGGACGTCGGTGGCCCCTCCCCCCCTCCGACGTTTCCCTTCCTGTCCTTGCGATTATTCACTTCCCCTTTCCCCCTCCCTCCCCGTCTCCCGCTCTCCCTTGTACGCCGGCGGTTCATTTCTGGTTTCCTTTGCCTCATATGATTTCCTCTCCCGGCCTCCCCCCCCTCCCGTCCCGGCCCGGCCCCCACCCCACTCTTCAGGGGCTGCACGATGTCTTCACGGGGGGTAGAGAGCATGACCGAGTGGCTCGTAGCGTGGAGGCCGCGCTTACCGTACGGGACAAGTACGGCAGAGTGCTCACACCCAAGGAGCGATTCAGACAAATATGTTACTCGTGAGTGGTCAGCTGTCCCTCGGGGGGTGGTACCCGAACTCCGTTTGAATTTGTGTTTCGCCTAGGGGCTTAGGGCGCCTCGAGGTCCCCGGGGGGGGGGGGGGAAGCACCATGTTTGTGGGTGGGGTGGGGTGGGTGGGTGGAGAAAGAGAGTGTGTGTGTGTGTGTCAGGGGGCGGCCACGCGGCTTTAGGTCTCTTGTCCTAATACCTTGTTATTATTATTATTATTATTACATGTCACGTTTTTTTCGTTCCATTCGTACCATTGCCGTATTATCACAACCATGTCTGCAACCTCACAACGGTCATCAACGGCCACCGGGTGCGGCGGTGGTTGTGGTGGTTGTGGTGGTTGCAGCAGTGGGATCCAGACTCGTGTGGAGGGTAGGTATAGCCGGCGGGCCAGCTGGCCAGCTGGCCGTGTATTATTGCTGCACCTGACGAGGCGATCAGGTGGCAGCGAAGACGTCCGTCCGTGCGGGCTGGCTGGCTGGCTGGCTGGCTGGCTGGCGGGCTGGCTGGGTGAACTTCCCCGCTCCAGAACCCGAACCCGCCACCATCATCCCTTTTTCAGGACATTCGCCCCCACATAACCACCTCTTACCACTACCACCACACGGCCCCCAAGCCCCTCCATCTGTTTGATAACGTGCACCCTCAGGTGCCATCTCGTGGGATATGTGTCGTGCTGTGTTCTCGAATGCCGTCACCCTCACCACGCGTCATCTCCGTGTTTGTCTCGTCACGTCATGCTGCTCCTCATCCTCCACCCGCGCACAACACCCCCGCATGCACATCTCTCGCTCCACATCCCCTTTCCCCCCCCCTTGGCAGCAGCTTCACTCGCTCGTGATTCGTCTTTTCCCCCCTTCCCCCCCTTCCTCCTTTCCGCCTCCACCTAATGATTCCTCCGCGGCTCCCTTCCACCCCCCGCCACCCCTCCCCCACACTCCTAAGTCATTACTGGTCAGCAACTTGCAAATATTCCTGATGATGCAGCAGTGTCATCTGTCTAGTCCTGTGGACTACCCTGTGGACTATCTCTGGTATCTCCTTTTGCTTCATTCGTCATTCGTGTGTGTTTCGTCTTAACCCCCCCTCACCCCCCCCACCCCCCCGTCCAGTGATTTTTTTTTCATTTAGGGGGGGTCTCAATTTATTCCGACCTAAGTAACAAAGTTGCTAGCGTCGCCGTAATGTATTCCTTAAGTGTGGGGCGCTGGGGGGGCTACGCCCCCCCCAGACCCCCCCTCATAAGTTACAACTCCCCTCATAGACCAAGAGGCACGCACTGCGTTGGCGCGTTTTCGTTCATGTGCGCACTGGATACTTGGCGGCCCAGGCAATCTGCCATCTGTGGGGATTTTCTTTCTGCTTGTCCCGCCATGCACCGTCGCTCATGCCCTTGCGGATGCGCTGTGTCTGAGCCCGCTTGGCACTGCGAGCGCTCGGGTTGGGTGCCTCGCCGCATTCGGCTGATTGGGTGACAGCTTGCGCTTATGCTGATCACAACCGCGATGGAAGGCAGGGGTAATGGCGCCCGTGTCATCGGTCGCCGCTGGCAACAACACCATTGCCGATGCATTATAGACAACAGCACCGCCGTCCCAAACGCCTTTATCAGAAAATTTCAGGCTTTTCTTGCTGTTTTGGTGTTTGTTCGGCGTTCAAGTCGTTGCCTTTTGCGTGTTTGGCTATGTAAGGACCGGTCATACATTCTGCTATGCCGCGTTGACTCACGGGCTTGACCTTCTTACGGCCCCTCATATCTATTCTATGATCGATAATACTAAGTTCTGCACACTTCGGAGCAATCTGGCAGCAATGGACGTTTTTGGCTGGAAGAATGAAAATGTACGGATCGGCCTCCATTTGTTCCTTATTTCCAAAGGCCAAAATGGCCTCTTTATTCCTTAAAAGGAATATATTACTTAAAAAAAAAACACTGCCCCCGTCCCCCCCGTCCCCCTGCAGTTTCCACGGCATCAAGCCCTCCAAGAACAAGATCGACAAACAGATGCAGCGGGACGCGGAGGAGATCGCCATCAAGAAGGCCGCCACCACGGAGGACCCCTCGAAGGAACTGGACAGGCTGAGAGCCGTACAGAAGGTTACGGGCTCAGCCTATGTCGTACTGTCGGGCAAGAACGCGGGGCTGCCGGCGGTGGTGGCTCCCGGGGCTGTGGGGTATGGTGGCGGCAGGTAAGAGCGGGGGGAAGCTGGTGGGGGGGGAGGACCCCCCGGCCCCGGGGGGGGGGCGGGTTGGATTGGTAGGATCTCTACGGTTGAGATGGGGGTGGTGTGTGTGTGTGTGTGTGAGGGGGGGGGGAGGTGCCCCGGGTAAAG